TTGCAAAATGGAAATACTTGCTTCCCAAGTAGCAATGAGATCTTTGCTTAGGCATCATAAGCACCAAGCCCATAGCTCCAAATTATTCCATATAGAAGTGAGTATCAGCCCACAGACTACTTGTTCATTATTTGGACAAATCTAATTTTGCACTTGAAAACTGTTCAGATGAGATAGCCTGGGAGCTATTCATACATGAATTTTACTCAAAATACCATACTGCTATTTCTTCTTCCATCACCTTCCTTCAGTCGCTCTCTAAGAAGTTTCAGCAACTCTATAACTGATAGCCTGATCTTGAAGCCCAGTGACTTTATAAGGAAGTAAAGGTTGTGAGAGTGGTGGTCTGAGTTAGCACTATGGGTAAAAGTACGTGGTGGGCGGATCACGAGGTCAAGAGTTTGAGACCAGCCTGGCCAATATGGTAAAACCCTGTCTCTACTAAAAATACAAAAATTAGCCGGGCGTGGTGGCACACACCTGTAGTCCACACACCTGTAGTCCCAGTTACTCAGGAGGCTGAGGCAGGAGAATTGCTTGAACCCAGGAGGCGGAGGTTGCAGTGAGCCGAGATTGCGCCACTTACTCCAGCCTGGGCGACAGAGCGGGATTCTCAAAAAAAAAAAAAAAAAAGAAAGAAAGAAAAGAAAAAGAAAAAATTGGTGGCAATTCTGTGGATGTGGAACATCAGAACTCACTTCCTCAGTGGCTTTCATCATTTCAATAATCCACTTTAGGGCACCTCCCTCCTGCTTTCTGAAGAGTAGAATAGCTGAATTAGTGCTGTGCTGAAAACTGGGAGAGCACATTCCATCACCAGACAGACGAACCTTTTTGGGTTGAGTCGCTCCATCTGTAAGAGAATGACAACCTTTGTTTGAAGACACCCAAAGTTCATGGAGCTTTTTATGACTACAGTCGTTGATTCCTCCGCCCAGTCCAAAGGTTTTTGTTTTTGTTTTTTTAAATTAAAACCCAAAGTGATTATTTCCTTTGGAACTGAGAGGGTTCCCCAACACACAGGCCACTTCATCCTCTCAGCTGTCCCTCCTGGTATTGGACTTATAAGGGTCAGAGGAGCCCAGTCCTCTGTCTAAGGTAGACAAGGGAAGATGTCATGAAAGCTAGGAGTTGGATTCTTTCAAGAATAGCTGGGCCTCAGTCCAGTTCCTCCCCTACCATCTCAATGTGTTCCCACTCAGACATGTACACAGTCTCTGCTCAGCGCCTCTGGGCCAGCCAGTCAGGCAGGGTCCTCTCCCTAGAGAGAAACAGTTCTGCAGTGATATCTGAACACATTCCAACAGCATGTATTTATCTCTAGGGTCAGCCTTTCCTGTTGATGATCAGGCAGCATGTGGTGGGCGATGGGATTGGGATAATAGTTGTTGGCAGCCACAGTCAGGGGCAAGGAATGAGGGCACTGGGGATAGGGCCCCTGCCCTTGGGAGGGTGATGTTATGATGAGGTTTCCAGACTGCTATGTGACCAGGTATCTCTCTCCTTGCACCAGGATGTGCTCTCCAGCTCTCCTGTTGCCAGTAGAGATGAGAAGCTGGACACTGCCTCACTCGGGTATGTCTTCCAGAGCTGGCTAGGACCTGGTGGATAGGGACCTCCAGGTGGGGGCCATAGATCCTATAGATCTGGAGCCAGGAGAATGGCGGTGTTTCCATTATTTAATGTAGGATCTGAGCTCCCTAGGGACACAACTGGTTCTGCCTCTTCATTTGAGCTCATTGATAGGTGTCAGGAGCTTCAGGCTCTGGCAGTGGGACAAAGGGGGCCACCCTCCCTGGCTAGGTTAGGCAGTCAAGTCCCAAGAGTTGACAGCACTGGACACAGTTTCCAGGAGCTGCACCCTCTCTGTCAGGTAAAGTGCCGACCAGTGGAGGGCAAATGGCCACGTACCTTCTGAGGGTTCCACCCCAGCTCTGAACAGCTTTAAGAAAGTATGTTCACAACCAGTCTAAAGAGCTTTGATTTCTTTATTATTTATTTCGAATGAGATAACCTCATCCTTCCTCCAGGCTGAGTTTCGGAGGCGGGTGGGTGGGTGGAAGGGAGGAGGCTGAGCCATCTGATTCCTCTTCAGCAAAAATGAATCATGTCCCCCAGCCCCCATCCTCAGCCCAGAAATATTTATCCATGTTTATATAACCATGGCAACAGGCTTTATTCTCTATCACTTAAATCCTTTTTTAAAAATAAAAAGCAGAAGGCAGCTATTTTTCCTACTTTTTCCACCTGCCTGCTCTGCCCAGATGAGAGTTACCTCTTCAGGAACAAGGCGAGAGAGAGACCCCCCCCCACACACATACTCCTGGGGTAACATTGGCCTTCTCAGAAGCAAGGGAATAGGTAAGTTGCAATGGCCCAGCACCACGAAAGGACTTCAGAGTTAGACAGTAATTGTCCTCCAAAGTCCTGTGGGAACCACACAGTGATACTACCTCAGACTTGTCTAAAACTTCTCTTTTGAGTTCTGCACTGGTATTATGACTATCAATTTGTTTTCTTGCTATCTCTCTCTACCTGAAAATGGACGGAATGTGAGCTGGCTTTGCTAACAATACATTCTTCATCTGCAAGATGGGGTAAATATTCCCTTGCTCCTGACTACTTCACAGTTAGTTTTCAGAAGAGAGTTGCTTTTTTGAGATGGAGTCTCGCTTTGTCACCCAGGCTGGAGTGCAGTGGCGTGATCTTGGCTCACTGAAACCTCTGCCTCAGCCAGGTTCAGGTGATTCTCCTGCCTCAGCCTCCTGAGTAGCTGGGATTACAGGCGCCCGCCACCACGCCAGGCTAATTTCTGTATTTTTAGTAAGAGATGGGGTTTCATCATATTAGCCAGGCTGGTCTCAAACTCCTGACCTCGTGATCCGCCCACCTCAGCCTCCCAGAGTCCTGGGATTACAGGCATGAGTCACTGTGTCCAACCCAGAAGAGAGTTTTGTAAGGAGTATAAAGTGTTACAGACTCACAAAGGTTTAAACCCATAAGCAGGGGAAATTGAGGCCCAGTAAAAGGAAAGCATTTGTGCAAGGTCATACTCTGTTGTCAGCAGCACAGAAGACCTAACCACCCAATCTTAGGTTCTTGCCAAGAGATCAGCCCACTTCTTTTGGATTTTCAACCCTAGTCAGCCTCCCAACTTCCAAGTGGATTCCAGCCCATGAAGCCTCAGAGATGGAGAAAACTGGGGCTTACGCTGGACCCTAAAGACTATTTTCACCAGGCCAGGCATGGTGGCTCATGCCTGTAATCCCAGCACTTTGGGAGGCCGAGGCGGGCGTATCACGTGAGGTCAGGAGTTTGAGACCAGCCTGGCCAACATGGTGAAACCCTGTCTCTACTAAAAATACGAAAATTAGCCAGGCGTGGTGGCAGCCGCCTGTAATCCCAGCTACTCAGGAGGCTGAGGCATGAAAGTCGCTTGAACCTGGGAGGCGGAGGTCGCCCTGAGCCAAGATCACACCACTGCACTCCAGCCTGGCCGTAAGACTGTCTCAAAAAACAAAAACGAAAACAAAAACAAAACAAAACAAAAACACTATTTCAGCCACAGATCCACAAACGTTTACTTAGAGTTTCTTACATCTGACTACCGCGCTGGAGACTGGAGATGGAGCAAAGCAAGGCCCTTCAACTTAGGGAACCATTTTGTGGTGTTTCTCCGCATTAAAGGCCCCCTCTGTGGACTATATGTCAACGCTGGGTCCTTTCTATCCCAGTCCCATAGTATTCAACTACAGAACTTCTTCAGCTGGACTGGAAACCACAACTCTGTCCTTGGGGGCGGCTCTCACTCTGAACATCTGGTGGGTCCCATAGAAAGGGATCTCTTGGAGGATTTCTGCCCACAGCTGCAGAAAAGGCAGGAGGGGCAATGCTGCTCAGACTGGTAGGGCCAGAGTTGCCTGGGCTCGGCCAGCTGTCACTGACCAAATTCAGCCCATACTGTGCCTCTTTTTTCTTTTCTGTATGCATTGGCTACAGCTGCCCCAGCTTCGCCCAAAAGGACTCTTGGGGCTAGGCTGAAAGCTGTGGGCAAGAGCTATTGTATAACAGAGGACATGGGGTTGTTAAGTGGAGGCCATTCAACTGGACTCTGCAAACTCTTCTAAAGATTTAATTCTCTCTCTCTCTCTCACCCTCCCTCTCTTCAGACCCTCCATTTCTGTCCCTCCTCCCTCCCTGCGCCATGTGTCTGTGTCTCTCTGTATCTCTCTCTCCTCCTTCTCTCCCCCGTCTTTTTTTTTTTTTTTTTTTTTTTTTTTTTTTTTTTTTAGACGGAGTTTTGCTCTTGTTGCCCAGGCTGGAGTGTAATAGCGCGATCTCAGCTCACTGCAACCTCCGCCTTCCGCTTTCAAGCGATTCTCCTGCCTCAGCCTCCGGAGTAGCTGGGATTACAGGCATAGGCCATCACGCCCAGCTAACTTTGTATTTTTAGTGGAGATGGGGTTTTACCATGTTGGTAAGGCTGGTCTCGAACTCCTGACCTCAAGTGATCCACCCGCTTCCGCCTCCCAAAGTGCTGGGATTACAGGCGTGAGCCACCCGCTCATCTATCAATAGTTAGCGTATCTGGCACTCTTGGCTGCCACCGACGGACCGATCGCGGCACCGGCACCGTTCGTGCCTTCTCTGGTGTTCTTACAGTTGTCCCACTCAGAGACCTCAAATCCTGCCTGGGGCAAACTTTTCCCCGTTAATTACCTTGAAACAACACGTCGCTAATTGCCTAATTACTCTCTGTGCTCTGCGCCACCGTCCCCGGCTGGCCCGGCCGGGCGCGGCGTCTCCGCGCTGGGAGGGAGCAGCGCTGGCGCACGCGGAGCCGGGCGTCCAGGGCTGGGGCTGGGAAGAGCAACCCCGCCGGTCTGCCGAGCCCATCGGCCTATGGAGCCCATCGGCTGCAACTTCATCCTCCAGGGCCTGGCTGGCACTCGAACGGTTCCTGTTCGGCTCGAATAACATCGGAGCATCCCAGCCTTTGAGCGCTTCGCCAAAGGCCAGAGCGTCAGCTAGGTTGACTGACGCCGAGCCCTGGGGAGAGAAAGGCTTGCTCCCTGCCCACCCCGGTGAAGGCCCCAGGGAAAACAGGCACACCCCCTACCCCGTTTCATGTTTTCATAAAAATCATCGTCTGAAATTACCGTGCTTACCGTGTGTGTGTGTGTTTACCTGTTTATCTCGCCTCCCCTTCTTCCCCATGTAAGTTCTTGAGAGCAGGGACCTCGCCTATCATACTCAGTATCCCCAGCCCTACAGCCTTGCCAGGGGCGCAGCCGACCCTCGGCGGCTTTGTGTGATAGGCGTGAACCGGCCAAGCGGCGGCGTCTCTGCTCCGCCTGAGAGGGCAGGGCTTCGAGGACCTCACTCTAGGAGTGAGGCGGGAGCCACATTCCCAGGGTCCTCTTCGGGGAGAAAAGAGCTTCTGAGGGACTTCTGGGGATGGCAGCGGAGGGGGTGGGGGTGTTTCCTTCCTGATCGGAGTTTGGGGAAAGGGACTGACACTATGGCACTCTGCCTCTTACTGACATGACACCGCTACCCAGTCCCTCCCAGTAAAAATGTGCTCTCCCTTTATGACCACACGAGGGTCATGTGCTTCGTTGGGGGCCGCCGAACGGCCTGGAATCACGATGTCCTCCGCCGCGCTGGCCGGGACCAGGTGTGTCCCCGCCAGCCCCAGTAGCTGCGCCCGGGTCCTGTGCAAACACCGTGGTAGGGTCGGCCTCGACCGCCCAGCCCGGCCCCCCGGCCGCCCTGCCCATTGGCTGAAGACAGCCCCCCTGAATTCTCATTGGCTGTCCCACTTTTCCCTCCGCCCTCAGCACCGACCGCACGCTGCCAGCCGCGGGGGAAGCGGCTCTAAGTCCCGGGCTCGCAGCGCAGGCTCAGCTTCGCGCGGCTAGCGCTACGGGCGCAGGGGCGGGGAGGCCGCCCGGCGCGCAGTTTCCAGTGGGGCCGGGGTCCCACCCGGGCACTCTCTGTTTGACCCGAACCCGACAAATGGGCGCATGACGATGGAGAGCAGGGAAATGGACTGCTATCTGCGTCGCCTCAAACAGGAGCTGGTAAGAGCGAAGCTGGCTCCCGGGCAGGGAGGACTGCTCCGCCCCGACGGGCACCTGGTCCCCGCCCGGGCACCCGGGGGGCCGGTGCGTAAGCAGGGCGGAGGAGGGCCAGGGAAGAGAGGGGAGGACGCGGGCCGGCAGGCAGAGAGCCGGGCTTGTCCTCAGGAAAGGGGGCCACGAAGAAACTTTGAGCAAAGATTTGTGATGAGACAAGAACAAGTGACAGAGAGACAGAGGGAGCAAGCCAACCAGGCTGAAATGTGACACAGAGAACCCCAGGGAGAAAACAGTGCACGCCCAGAGACGGCCAGGCACTCGGACGCAGTGGGGCCCCCGCACCGCCGACGCGGAAAGCGCGGGAGCCAAGGTCTGGGGAGCGAGACGCGGGCGCCCGGGTGCTGGGCTGCGCAGGCCGGCCTGGAGCGCGCCGGCGGGCGGGGCGCGGGGAGGAGGAGGGTGCTGGGGCCTGATCCCTGCCCGGGCACGAGGTCAGCGGGACTGCTAGCTCGAGGGGAGCCGGTACCACCCTGGGCCCCCAGCTCTGCTGGGCTTGGCAGAGCTGGCGCGGCTGCGGGGGCAAGCTTGGCCGGCTGTCTGCCTGGGCTTGTCTGCCAGCAGGGAGGGGGCTGGCAGCTGGAAAGGCGGGGGAGGGCCCTGCGCTGGAGGAGGGGCTCTGCCTGGCAGATCGCGAGCGGGAGCTGCGGAGGCCCAGCCAGATGTCAGGTCTGGGCTTGGGGAGTGCACAGGGAGCGTTCGGAGGCCCTGGAGTGCAGGGAGGGGGAGAAGTAACTCAGTCTGGGGAGGGGGAAATATCACCGAAGTCGGGGGAGTGGTGTCCGCTAAAGCTATGTTAGGGAGAGCCAGGTTGATTCTCACTGGCTTCATATACCACTACCCCCGCCCCCACGCCACCTGCCATCTTTCTTATTCCTTCACCCACCGGAATTCAGGCAAATGTTATGCACATACAGCCCCATCTCTGCTTTGCCCATCTCTCCTTCCACCAGGCTCTGTTGTGTCTTTGCCTTTCGTCTCTTTTTATCTCTTTTAGTTTGTCTCTCTTGGAGTCGACTCTTCTCAGTCTCACTTTTCTGCTCTCCTCTTTCTTCTTACTTTCCAGAGCCAGGGGCACCCAGGCCACACAACAGCAGACCTGCATCTAGAAAGGGCCAGCTTATGGCTCTCCGGATTCTGTGACAGCCTTTCCCACTCCTGCCTGCAAAGGCTACACTCTTCCTGCTTGGGAAGGAAATTGGCAGTGTGTTAGGGGCCAGCTCTGGGGGTGGGGGCAGAGTTTGAAACTGCAGGTGTTCTCACTGATGCTTCCTGACCAAGTCACCCTGCCACTCTTCCTGTCAGTCCTACTCCAGGGTCTGCCTGCTCACATCAACCATCATTTCTCTCTCTAGCCCTTCCTCCTGGAGCCCTTTCTGTGGTGACACTCAGATGCAAAAGTTACTGACTCAGAGAGATACTTCTTGAGAGACAGGAATATTCATTGCTGTTCTTCTGAACTTACACCATGCCCCTTCCCATAGTCGTTTGCACATGCTTCTCATGCCAGATTGGGATGGCTGGCCCCAGCCCACACGTACACATACACAATTCTCATTTTTTCCCATTTATGTGTGCAGTACCAGAAAGCAAGCTCAAGGTCATCACAGATAATGTCTGAGGTCCAAGACCCATGCTGAGAAAAGAATCTAATAGAATCCTCCTTTTTGTGCTTCGAGTTGGGGACTACACCACCCACCTCAGGATCTGCCTTAATGGAGGGTTTGTGGGTGTTCCTGGCATGGGCTCGAATTTTTAAATCCTGCTGATTTGCATTTTTTACAGCACTCTAGGTGGGAGGTGGTGAGGGGAGGAAGACAGAGACTACGGATGCCAGGAGAATAAAAAAGGCAACTAGAAATCTGCACTGAGCTGAGCTTCACATCTTGATTTGCACCCCCTCCTGCCAAGGACTTGAGCCCCCAATGCCTGGGAGGAGGAAAGGGAGAGGCTGAAGTCACTGAGCTCCCCATTAGCTTTCATTTGGCCCTTTGTCTGAGCAGCTTCAGCCTTTGACTCTCTTGGAGAGGAAGCCAAATGCCTGGCCTGGATCCCAGAATGACACTCAGATGGGAGAGCTCTGCACTACCCCCCATGGTGCTCCGCCCCCTCCTCAATGCCAGCCTGCTCAGAGATGAGACAGAGCAGAAGGACAGACAGAGCTAGTAGAGTGTCACTTGCTCCCTGACACCTCAGTTCAGTGCTTAGGTAGCTGGGCCAAATCTCAGTGCCTTAGTATCCCCAACAGTAGCAAAAGGGAAACTAGAGCTGAATTAGCCCAGGGTCAGCCCTTTGGCTGCCTTGCCCAGGGACAGTAGGGATTGAATATCAATGCAGCTTGCTTGTGACTGGTGTTGACTTAATACCCTAGGTCACAATGGGGTGGGAAAGGAATACAGTTGGTTTCTGTCATGAGCTAGGGAGCTTTTGCACTGCAAATGGCCCATCCCAGGCAGGATCTCCCTTGCCACCCAGAAGACATTGTGTGCCTGGCTCTGCCCTTAGTTCATGTTTACACAGGCATGGCCTCCTGTAATACTGGTCAAGTTCTATGTTCATTTCTTTCAGTAAATTTCTCTCAAGAATCACACACTCTGCAGACACTGTGGGATAAACCTGCTGGAAAACAAAACATTAACAGGTTGTGAAATTATCTTTGTCAAGGGTGTTTTATGCTCCCCTCCTGCATCCTATCCCTGTCCTTGGCCCAGAAAATCTAGACAAGAAGAGTGTGTTTCTGAAAACCAAAGTAGTGGAACTTCCCAATTCCCTGAAGCAGAAAATGTCATTGTAACAGGTGAGCGCTGAGAGAAGGCTGAGGGTTTGGGGATCCTGGCTCAATTAGTTGATAAGTAGAGAGCTGGCCCTTTCCTTCTGCCTGGAAAGGGAAGGGGATCGGGTTTCAGGGATGAAATGTGGCAGGAGAAGTAGCAGCAGCTGACACACTTCTTCATTAGAATGAGGGCTTGGGGCTGCAACAGCTCAGCAGGGAACACATCTCTTTTCTCCCTCCAGCCGCCAAAGAGGGGCCCTGCCTGAACACAGGCCTTGGGACCAGCTGTTCCATACACACAGCTCCCTTGTGGGCTGCCAATAAGTGGGGTAGACACAGGCACACAGACGAGGCAGATGTATGATGCTCACAGGGCATCCCTCGTGAGTTCAGATCTGTGTAGAACAAATAGAGTGTGTAAAGGCTGAGTGATCAGAGCTCATGAAGTACAGCCAGGCTGGGAAGGCTTCCTGGAGGAGGGAGAGGTTGCAGGAGGCCATCTCTGAGAATGTCTGTCATAGCTGAGGCATGGGGAAGCAGTTCTCTAGCTTTTAGTGGCCACAAGTTCAGGGGTTTCTGGCAAATGGGTAAGGACTGGGGCCTAAAGGCAAAATAAGGAGAAGAAAAGTAGGAAATGGAGAGGATACAGTAGGAACAGCCTTCAGATCTTGGGGCAAAAAGGCAAATTTCCTGAGGCAGAAAAAACCTTTTGCAAAGGATCTCATAATGCATCTTCTTTGATGTTTAATGTTGGGGAAAGATGACTATGTGACTAGTTAGGCAGTGTGGTCATCGGGAAGAATGCAGAGTATAAGATTTGGGGTCAGACCAACTTCAACTCAAATCATGGTCCTGTGTGACCTTAATATATTACTTAACCTCTCTGTGCCTTGGTTTTCTCATCTCTAAAATGGGGGTTTAAAATACCTACTTTATACGGCTACTGTGAAGATCAAATGACAATTTAAGTGCCTCACCAACTGTATGTCCTTCACATGTAGCACAGTGTCTGATGTGTCGTAGGCACTTGGTAAACTGTTGATGATGGATTGATCAGACTGTTTTGCATAAGAGTCATTCATAGATAGAACATGTTATTGAGTTCATACTGTGTTTAGGGCATTTACTGGGCACTGGCACTATCATTACAAACAAACAGACACAGATCCTGTCTTCAGGGAACACACAGTTTAATAGAAGATATAATAACATTACTTGATGTTAACATTGATATGCCAGACATATAATTTATGATGTCATTTAATTGCCAAAACAACACTAAGAAGTTGTACTTTCATTATTCTCACTTTATGAATGAGTCAATAAAGACATGCGAAGGTTAAGTCACTTGGTTAAAGTCATAGAGCTGGTAAGCGGAGAGCCAGGATTCAGACCCCACCAGTCTGATTGCAGAGCTTATGTTCTCAACCGGTACATGTATGCAGACCTCTGGGGCAGAAATAGAGGAATTGTGTTATGTAACAAGCACAGGTTCAGTGCTCTGAGAGAGGGAA